ATCGTACGAAAGCCGATATTGAAAAACAAGAAAAAGAGAAGAAAAGTGAACAGTCAGAAACAGCAATGAAACGAGCACAGAGTGATAAGGTTGCTCATAGTCTGTATTATCAAGATTCTGATTTTGCTGTTGTGGAGAGATTGAAACAAATAGCCGAGAAATAAGGTGTAAAATCAACACAAATTGCATTAGCATGGCTTTTGGCTAAAAGGGGTGTCAATGCACCGATGATAGGCGCCTCGAAAATGTATCAACTCGAAGAAGCTGTTAAAGCAACAAAAATATCATTGAATGCTGAGGAAATTAACGCACTTGAAGAATTGTATACGCCTCATCAAATTTTGGGGCATTTTTAATTCAAAACGCAACATGTTATTTTACGTTTTTCAATCTAGTTTTTCTCCATAGCTGTTTTTATATTAATTTAGTAGGTCACCATTACATCTTATAGTCTGATTTATCCAATAGTTCCAGTTAAAAAGTAATAAGTATTTGCCAAAAAAGACAGAAAAAGACGTAAAGGAGAAGAGTACTTAGTCTAAAAGAGTAAAACTGTAAATTATTAAGTAAAAGACAAGTCAAAATAGCTCACAATTGTAAAAAACAAATGAGCGAAGGGTACATTATCTTTTTAAACACATGTAAAAATGGAAATTGTCATTCTTCAAGTATGCTTCTTTTGTATGCCGATCACAATTTTGTCAGTATAGAAACAGAAGCATTAACACTATGTTACAGCCACTTAATCACTAAAACAAAAAAACAGCAAAAACTGGCTGTCATGTATAGTAAAAGAATCCCAGGACGTTGAAAACGGTGTAATTTATTATATATTAAATCCCTATTAACAGCCCACAAAATGTGTCTTAAGTAATATTTTTTAGCTAGTTAACACCGTTTTTAACGCGTTCAGTCGATGATTGAAATGTGACTTTCAACTGTTTAATCAATATACGAAACACGTTTAAAACATTGACTGAACGCGTTGCTATTATTTGGTCGTTTACAAATGTTTGTACACCGTTTCAGTCGATAAAGAAATCTAACGGGTTACCTGCAGATATGTCGTGCAACAAATAACCAATAAGAAGAATTTACTGACATAGTTTAGGTTAGGGAAGCTAATTACCTATCCACTGCATATCTTCTCTGAAAAAATTTTTTTTCTTTACTTTATCTTTATTAATCAACGATAAAAGACTCACTTATCTTTATTTTTGAAAAATAAATTTTTCTTCATTTGTTTATATTTATTTTCTAAAATTACACTGAATTAACACCCCTAGCTCAGCTGCGATGGTTTAAGAAACAGTAATATAATTTTCGTCTTATATAAAATATTCATAATCGTCGTAAATTCATTTCCATAGAGAATATTTTGTTCTTTAATCTAAGCTAAATTGAAAAAAAATTGTACTGATATGATGTCGAAAGTAAAAAGCTCTGTAGAATAGTTTATTGTAGTATACTTTAGAATCATAAATAAGCGATAGCAAAAGTAATTAGATTTTTTTCTAAGAAGTACATTCCATGCAATTTTTCACGCTGATATATTTGAAGTTAAGATTCTTTATGTTCGTTAGTACTCAACATTCTCTGCATCATATACAATTCTATACGAATCATTTTTAGTTAATATAATTATGAATTTATAAAATGCAACTGAACATATATAACTTGAAACTACAATTTATACATTTTGCTTGTCATCAAAAAAAGAAAGTTGAATATATGAAATAGGTCAAGCGAATGCTTTTTTCTATACTTTCTGATCACTTTATCCGCTTTTGTTTCAGAATGTGCACCTGGATAAGGGCCAAAAAGAAACAATCCACTTAAATTTATGTAGAAAGAAAGGAAAAGTAACACTGATTCATTTTGATTTTTTCAAATGTTTTACTGACTCAGTTTCAGTATTTTGTAAACAAACAGACGTATTTGATATTTTTCTGTTTTCAGCACTTCATGCCTTCATTATCTTTGGTATACTGCTATTTTCTTTAATGTTTTATCAGGTAGTGAATATACGGTTGGTTACTGGACTTTTATGTTACCGGCTATACAAACTCAAGCGTATATCTGATTCTTTCTTCCCTCAAACATCTCAGCAGTGGAACAATTTACCGTCGTTTCTTATTCAACTCACATCTTTCAGTCTATTTGATACCAGTCTAAAAAATCACCTTAATCTGGCAAATCCTAGCAAACTTGTAAACGCTCTGGCCAGCCATCTCTGCTATCGGAGTGAAATTCCGTAACGATTTTTTTTCATTTTGTTTTTCTTATAATATTTGAGT